CGACAAGCCTGAAACCCCCTGCGGAGCCAGGACAGGGACCAGGGGCGAGGGGCCCAGGGGCGCAGGAGGGAACGGGCCAATCAATAATGCGGGATGACGATTAATGAAAAAAATGGGGGGGAACGATAAACAAATAGTTTCCTCTTATTTCTGCACAATGTTCTGACTGGAAGAGAACGATTAAAAAATAGTTTTCCAGCCCGCGGCCGGTTTTTCTAATCGTCATCCCGGGCGCCGCCGCGTGAACACGACCCCCGGTCATTTATTAATCGTCATCCTCCATTACCCAGACGTGACGCGCTGGCTGAGGAGTCCAACTGAGATGAGTGGGCGCAGACGCCGTGCGCATGCTGCCCCTGGCCCTGTGCGTCGGCACTCAAAGGGCCGCTGCCCGAGCACAGACGCGCAGCCTGCTCTCCATCCTGGGCCAGCCTCGGGGGAGACGCAAAACGGGCGGGACAGGGCGAGGGCGAGGAGGGAGAGGAGGAGGAGGAGGAGGAGGAGGAGGAGGAGGAGGAGGAGGAGGAGGAGGAGGAGGGGGACGGAGATAGAGGAGGAGGAGGAGGAGGAGGAGGAGGAGGAGCTGTAGTCTGGGCGACGGCCGCAACGTGACACCGGCGCGCGGCATGCACCGGACCCCGTGCTCATCTGTGCGCTGCGTGGCGCACCGGCGGACCTGGCGCAGGGTGCGCCGCGCCTCGTCCTCGACCGCGAGCGTCGATTGAAGTCATCGGCGGTAGCCCAGACAACTCCAGCCAGTCTTGAGAAGACCAGGGGCAACATCACATCACCAAGACGGACACATCAAGAAATTTTGGGCGATGCCCAGGGCACAGCCCAACGTAAGCGCGGGTATCTGAGGCAGCCCAGCACAGTGGCTGCCACTGCCGTCATCCGCGCCCTGTCCGCTTGCTTGGCCAATCTCGTCGATGGGCGAAGCACAAAATGGCAAGAGGCCGACCGCGAGATCGGGGCATCCACAGCGAAACGACGACGAAACGAACTCGTTGGGTGGTGATGGCTCGCCGACCAGGTCTTGCACCGCTTCCAGACGCTCTCGAATCACTGCTCGTCAGTCGGGGTGGTGAACGCCTGGCCGTTCATTCCGCACTCGATGCTGGGGAGGTCTGGAACTGTGCCGCAGTATGGCTCCCAGCATCGCTGCATCGTTGGATTGGGAGGTGTCACGTCGTGGACGTCGAAACCATCGCTTATCCCGGCTCGACCGTCCCATCCGCATGGCCAAGAGGCTGCAGAATGCTTCGTCTGGTGATGGTGGCTCGTCGTCGTAATCGTCCGCTCCTCCTCGTCGAGCTGCTCTTCCTCCCCGTCCTCCCTTTCGTTTACTTCCTCCTACAGTCGGGGCCTTGCCTAAGGAACCCTAAATAAGGAACGAGGCCCCTTTTCTCCACAAGTTAAACTTCGATTTCCCATCGAGAACCTAAGGAAAACCTGAGGCAAGCTGTGAAACACTTCAGGAACACGGAGCCCCTCCCCAACGAAAAGGGTTCCTTCTTCAGGGCCCCGACTGTATTCCCCCCGATTCTCCTCCTCCCGCGGCCGTGGCCGACAATGCCAAGGCAACCACCCAGCCGTTGCGTCGGAGCGGCACTCCTGTGCAATCGTGGGCCCGTGGTGTGCCTTACAGTCGGGGCCTTGACCTAAGGAACCCAAAATACGGAACGAGGCCCCTTTTTCCCATAGGTTAAACTTCGACTTCCGATCGAAAACATAAGGACAACCTGAGGCAAGCTGCGAAACACTTCAGGAACGCGGAGCCCCTCCCCAACGAAGAGGGTTCCTTCTTCAGGGCCCCGACTGTACACGAGCAGCCACCAGACATGCAAAACGGAGCTCGCAGTCGAGTACAACTGGCCTGCGCTGAAGTGGCCACCGCAGAGGAGCGAGATCCACAGCGCGAGCGAGGGAGGGGCAGAACGAGGAGGATTGGGAAGGGACGACGTGCAGAAAAATCCGACACGCGATCCAGACAGCGCTGCGGATCGGGCGCGTCTGAGCCCCAGGCTCTTGGGCCCTCCCAGGCTGGCCAGCATGACGTGGACGAAGTCGACGCGGGCAGCTGACCTCATTCTGCGGTGGAGCGTGCCGTGGGCACGGCAAGTCCAGGCAATTCGGGGATGTTTGCACATTCAGGGGCAGCGGGAATCTTGAGCGGACTTCAACACCACGGCGCCGCCCACATCACATAACGTGCGACACCTTTGCGTGTCAAGACAACGCCAGCACGAGTCGAACAGAACCGCGGGAATGCAAGCAAGAAGCCACCTGGGAACCTAGCACTACCACCAGAAGTAAGACAACGAGCTCCTGGGAGAGGGGACGCGCCCGTATGTGATCAGCATCGAGGACATAATGGGTTCATGAATTCCCGAGCGCGGTCGCGAGGATAACTACATATACCACAAGGACCTGCACGTTGCAAGCACATGGGGGACCATAAAATATCAACGTGCCCGTGCAACAATGCGACCATGCAAAT